TCGCAACTTTGTCCATGTGAAACTTTCTTTTCGTCTCATACTCCATCTCAATCATTATTTCAGCCATATTTATCTTTTATTATAAGAGAATAGGTCTTGCACTAAATTTGACACAAAAAACAATCCATCGAATACCTGTCACATAATTTCATTTCATTATTAGATGGAGCATTGATTCTATGCTGTTTACTTCTAGGAGTTACCATCATCAGCTCGTTTTACATAGTCTATGATGATAATTCGCCTATGTAACTAAACTAGTCGCAGTGATGATCTTAATCGCAGGAATTTGACGAATGTCATTTGATAAATTCTGGGTCAATCTTTGTTAGGTTATGAATATGGAACGTTGTAGGTACAAGAAATGGCTAAATTGATGGTAATGATGTATGTAGTAAACGAACATCATCATCGATGATCTCCACGGCGTAGTGGTGGGTACGTTACTTTGCGTAAATAAAGTCGCGGATTTGATTTCTTTTCGGGCCAATTTGGGAAACGAACTTTTGTTCTATGGCTTGAGTCTGGGTATTCTGAGTATGCCCTCAGATGTTGTCTGCATGCATCCTCATAACACAAGGTATCTTAGATTGTGAACTAGACAAATGGTGTGATTATGCGGTAGTTTGGCACTTTTGTCGAAAAAAATGTTCCAATCGGAACTCAAATCGACGTTTCTGGCTGTCCTACAATGTTCTTAAAAATGATCATTCGAGTTCGAATCGTTGCACTGGAACGAGAAGGATATCGGCGGCTATCTATCATTCACGCTCAAATAGAAGCGACAGTATAGTGTCGATTGTCCATCGGTGATTCGCTCATAAATCATCTAATCGTCTTGAGTATATGAGGGCAGGCGTCGGCGTCGTGTTGCCAGTTCGTCACTCACGACTGGCCCGGCACCCAGCCAGTCACCCGCAGAATGGGACGCCTCAACTGTCAATAATTGCCTGCTTGACCTCGCTCATTTTATATCCCTACTTGTATAGATTATAAAGCGACATCAGATCATAGGACCTATCAAAATTCGATGTATAAAAATCGTAGAATAGAAAAATTTGGAATAGATCTGTCTCTAAATTTTATGGTGGGTGTACGTAGTCGTATTTGAAAATATTCGCTGGCTGGTTTTTCTTAACACGCAGTATTCTAGTTTGAAGACCACGCGATTGCTGTCATTGTTTGCCACTTATTATAGTTATTTTTTAAATACTACGCATCTTTATCTGTACAATATAGATAGACACAAACTGATAGCTCATCTGCTAGCTAGTGGTTGTTGTCGTTTATAGATATAAAATAATCATCATAAATGACACAGAACATGCATTGGCAACTCTGAGGACTGGGAGAAGTAGATTATTAAAAATGGAGTCAAACGGTCCTATTACTGGAAAACATTGTGGTTAAGTCTTATGGAATTCGTTACGATAGCTAACTGACCTGCTTTCATTTTCACCTATTATTCTTCACTGGTACTAGCCAGCCAATACCGATTGTACAGGCAAGATTATCATTCCGTTTTTACCTATTAAAAACACTGCGGATTATTCACTGTGATTTCCAGGCGTGAGTGGTTCTCGACGGTCCGTCCGGTCAACAGAATGACTAATGTTTTTAGAAGGTTGACCAATAGTAGTAAATTATATGTTTTTTTTATATATTTACCCTTTATTACAGCAGTTACAAAAATAAGGATTACAGTTAGTAAATTAATGTGAAAGGCGGTCTACCTTTCTTACAAGAAGTAATGTCCTTTCCCCACTGTGTCTTTGTGTGGACATTCCATAAAAACCACTTACGTTTATGGATTAACGTTTAAGGATACAAGAAAGTTTAGCAATTTCCTTCCCAAAGGTGTAAAACTTCAATATTGTTCGGATGTTTCACTCAATCCTTCATACACGGACTTGGAGGAATTTATCACCCGGATTGATTATATCTGAATTACGATACTCTTTACTCCTCGTGCCGGTAACATGTCCCCGGGGAAATCAAACGATAATAACAAAGTAATTTTGGAATTTTCGGTCCCCTCTTCGAGTAGGTTTTAAAATGTTCACTGTGATGATATAAAATTTATGCTCCACTGTCGGGTCATTCAATGAGTTGTCGTAGATGATGGTGGTCATCATCATAATCATATCAGCCTTTAATTGTCCACTACTGGACATAAACCTCCCCCTTGGAAAGTTTTGCCAGTAGTTACCACGCTTGGCTGGCGGATTAGTAACCGCAGTTAGGTTTTGGAGATGTTTTTAGAGGGACGCTGATGTATATCCCTCGCCTTTGCTTAGTCGTCTCCTACGACACCCACGGGAAAGGAAGGGGTGACCTATTCTATGCCGGAATCACACGGAAATAATGGTCATTACTTTAAAGCGAGTAAATAAAAATCTCGTGTCATTAATTCTCCTCTCCAACTATCTTCAAGTCCAACTTAAAAGATAGTATAGTTTTAATTCTGATAAATAAAATTAATTCGGCAGATGGCAATATGTTTGCAGACTCAGCTAGTCATAATATAAATATTTATACTTATAAATGTAAATAGAAGAAGCAAAATGCTGGGCGATCTTATATGACAAGACGATTTTTTAAAGAATATAATAGAAGGAAAAATAAAAGGCAAAAGAGGAAGGGTAAGACCGAGAAATAATTGCATGGGACAGATAAAGGAAACACTAGATGTCATATCGTATAGGGAGGTCAAGCATATGGCCTGGGATAGAGCTGGCTGGAAGAAGATGCATGAATTAGTTGCACCGACAAGAGGAAACTCTTAAATGAGAAAAAAAATATGAAAGTTAAGTTGTTTGTTTGTTTATAGCCTTATTGGCTTAACCAATTATTGTGATATTTAGTATAATACACGTATTATATGGGATGGAGAAGGATATAGGCTTCTTTTAATCCCGATCAGTAAACATATTCTGATCACGCGATCGAAGCTGCGATTCAAAACTAGTAGTATATACAAACAAAAATGAATGTAATCATAATATTATAATAATTCAGTTGGACTAAAAGGGCTCAAAGGGTTTACTTGGGTAGCGTCGGTAGGATTACAGAAGGTTTTTAAGCATTAGTTATAATAGTTATGTTCTAAGCCTGAGAGAAATTTAAACGGTTTATTCTCGATTTTTTTTTCCTATAATTTTTTACTTCAGTGAATAAAAATATGCTCACGACGGTGCTTTTGGAGTTGTGGAGACATTAGTCAAATATTTAATGGATGTGATGAACTTGCCTCTCGATTAAGCATTTGACATGTCCACATTTTGAAACGCAGTGCAGGACGATCCCCACTAGATGGAGTGACGACCTAAAATGCATTGCAGGGAATCAATGGATGCAGGTAGTTCAGGACCGTTCCTTATGGCAGTCTACGGGGGAGGCTTATGTCCAGCAGTGGACGGATAATGGCTGAAATGATGGTGATGATGATGATGATTTGAATCCTGTGTGTCGTGGCAAACTTATTGTCATCTCTTCGATTAATTTGGTTTGTTAATAATGCTTTAAATCGCTAGAAAGTGAGACAAAAATTTAGTTTGGAAGATTTTGATGTCAGCTATATTATATAGCTATCCTTACTACCACTGGACAGCCCAAAATTTAACTTCACATAAATATTTTTGTATAGTCAGGTGTGGACTCACGATCTTTGGACTCTACGTCGGTGTACCTGTTACAAGTATGGTACATAGTCTACGATATCTAAGGTATATCATTATTTTAACCATGAAAACGTATTCGTAAGTTTGTAAGAAACATTTACGTATTTTTCAAACCCCTGAAGAATTTTCGATAAAATTTTTACATTTTAAAAAAACTAATGAAGCGAGAAAAATACATAAGTAGATTAGGCATATATGAGAGACGAGAGATAAGTGATTTTTTTTTAATTCTTCCCTTCTAAAATATAAATAGTATTCATAAAACTGAATAACTTTTGCCAAAGAACTTCAACACGGAGTCCATACCTATAAAATTAAGTTCGAATAATAATTAAGGTTGTGTTAAATAAACCCAATTTCTTTTGTGGAAAAATTAGTTTTCTTTTTAATTTTAAATTCGATTTTGTTCTAATATCCTTTTAGATAAAAAAAAATAATAATTTTATAAATCGGTTTTAAACTGACAGAGTTATGAGGTAAAAATGTAAAAAAATATAACCAGATTGAGAGTCTTCTTTTATTTGAAGTCAGTTGGAAAAGGATGAAAGGGTCGTATGCAAAGTTAAAGGAAAAGTTTGCATGGAATCCGGCGGGTTTTCATATATTTGATTATTTGAATAAAAATTGAAAAAATTGTATGAAGTTACTAATATTTAATAATTTTCTTCTGCATTTAAAAGATAATGAATATTTTGATAACACTCGTGTAATGTTACAATCGGTCGTCTCGAGGTAATTCGCATTCACGTGGAATTACGAGTAAATCTATGAATTACCAGTAATATTTACACGTAAAATAAATTCAGGTGTCTATTAAAGAAATGTTCAATTTAAGAGTGTTAATGCCGAAATTGCATTCCATAAATCCAAACATTGTTTATTCTTTAAAATTGGCAGATACTGTATTCTGTCATTTTCAAAAATAAAGTTAATATATTTTATGGAAAATTAGAGTATTTATCTTTGCAATAATTTTTTTACCTATATTTTCAATCGATCGCCAAAATTTTGTATTTTGGTGCTAATAATGTAGTAGGGAATTTCAGAAATTACTAGTATATTAAGAAGAATGTTTAATACTATATTTAATTCAGTCCAATTCTATAATTAACGTTTTAATTCGTTAACTCGAGCAATTTTTTTGGAAAAATATATGTACTCGTATTCCTTTTTTTTTTTAACGATACGACTTCAACGAGCGTACTCTCGTAAATTTAACAACTTTTAATGTTAACTAAGAATTTATACATTTATGAATAACAACAAATCAATGTAAGTTTTGCAAATAAATCAACAGGTGTTCAAAAAGTTGGCTCTTACCAGCGGCGGGTTTCACTGGCCCGTAGCGACGGTGGTACGTTGCAGTGGAGCGATAACTGATTATACCGTGGAACTTCACAATTGCACTGAAGTATAAGCAAGAGTTAGTGATTTCTTGATAAGAGCCCCGAGTGGTCCGCGGCGCGTTAGAGAGCGCGCGAGCGGCGCGGACGGTGCGAATGGATGGCGAACACTGACTGCTCGCAACACAACGCTCTGTACAACGCTCGACCTCACGCTGCTGCCGTGTTATTCGGCGACGCATCGGCAACACAAGTTACAGGGTGTACCCTGTAACTTGTGTCCCTAGGCCCTATAAAAAGAAAGAAATAACTTTTATTAAAGTAAACTTAACACTTGCTGACCGGTGACGAGTAAATTCGTGATTGCACTATCATGTACTCGTAAGTACGTTCTCCTACCACGACGGGCAACACTATTTAGATTACAAGGCGTTCATAACCAAAAAAAAAAATACTTTTTTTATTTATATTTTATAATCATGACGAAATTTTCAGTCAGCAAAGTGTTAAAAAGTATTTTTGTACAATCATTTTTTATGAGTCTTTTTTATACAACTTAGAATGGCAAACAAGCTGACGGACCACCTGATGGAAGGTGGTAATCGTCGCCTATAGACATGTGTAGTACCATGGACATAACAGAGTATATTGTTTCGCCCATGATACCCCCATGCGTTGCCATTCCTGAGGACTCAGGTGTTATTCCTCTGTACCCAGTAAATTCACGCCATATCCCACCCTTCAAACTGAAACACAGCCATGCAAATACAACTGCTTTACGGTTGAAACGCAAATGGGACAGAGGTACCCAAGCAAACGATTTATGTACAAAGTCTCCCTTTGGTGTACTTGCTCTGCTGACTTAACAGCTCTTTCAGGATACTCGCACAATTTCAAGAAAATCAGCTGTTGTTTTCTTTAAAAACGTTGTATTTCATATTTATTGTAATTAAGTCTTATCTAATTGTATAATTGTTACTTAGTATACATTGACGCTTATCTGTGAGAGCTGTATACACCTTTAATTGATGTGTTCATATGGCCTTTAGCTTGGTAGTGAGGAGTGAGATGTTATTCACTTTTAATTACTTATAACTTTGTACATTGTCTGCTTAATTATTGTGAGCATATTGTTGGTGTGTCTTTTATAAATAAATATGAACATTGAATATAAACTACCAAGCAAAACCAAATCATAACAATTGGTGACAAAGTACACAATTACTTAGAGCTGTTTGACCTACATTGACTATCCACGTGCCACTATGTTTGTGCACGGTAATCTTCGAAATCGCTCGTCTGTTTCCTATAACATTATGTAAATTTGTACACGTGGTTCTAGTTTCAAAGACGAGATAGTTCCGGTAGAGATAAGTGATATTATTGTTAAGTTCTAAAGAATTACCCGTAAATACTATGTAGTATTTCCTCTAAAAAATATGCTCACGAATATAATCCCTAATTGAGTAGTCAGAGGCGTCTGTCGAGTACTGCCGATGTAGGCGGGAGCGCGAAAAGCATCTTAGAATTAAATTAAATTTATATTAGTAAGCGTTAAAATAAAATCATTGTATATTTAAGAGTATAAATTTAATGCACCAAATCTAATGTATGTAAGAATGTATTTATTTATGTAACTTTTTATTCCATCAGAAACAAAAATATACAATGACAATTGAATAATTCAAGTGAAATACAGTAACATGAATACAGATTGAAATATACACATAAAGGTACAAAAGGCGGTTTTATCGTTACAGCAATCTCTTAGAGACAATTCTTTTATATACTTTATATATATAAATATAAAATATTTTTTATATATAAATATTTATAAATAAGGACTGGTTGAAAACCAACGTTGTACAGCTGTACACATTACACCGGGACACTCGCAGCATCAGCTGAGCCAGTTTCTTTTGCCTAATACGAGACACTTCTTATATATGTTATATTTTTATATTTTCTGTTGTAATTGTGTTTTTTAGACAATAAATATTTTCTATTCTATTCTAAATATTCTCTTGTAAATATTCAAAATACTATTTACTGACGTATTGTTAAAGGGAAGGAACAAAATTGTTTACATTAGTCTTACCGCTTCATCTATTCAAGAAAGAAAAAATATAGCTAGATCCATAAATTTACTATATTATAGATGGATGTACATGGACGCCTGTATACCTTCGCATACCTTGTTGCGTATACTACAAGCAAGAAACAAAGTAAGAGAAATTCATGGCAGTAAAATTACTGCCCAAGCTGCATAAGAAGCTCTAAAGAATGGATTAATAGAATTATTAACGTCTCCAAGGTGTTGAGAAAAGCTGAAGCAAGGCTGCAAAAGTGATTATAGAGACCTTATAAGATTATAAGGGCACTGTTACAATATTTTCAAGTTTATATAATTACAAAGTGGATTAATCGCCTGCATAATTACCTCTGTTTGAGTAGACTATTTGCTCTTTGTTTACAGTTAATTATTTGATATAGTAATATTTTATGTTTTTATTTATATATATTTATATAATATATTGTATATGTATATATTAGTCTAATTATGTGTTTATAATATATGAATATATAAAATATTGCTTTATTTTCCTTTATTCAGTAACGAACCGCCTACTTATTTCTCGGTTTGCCCAATGCTTGACTGTTAAAGAACACCGTCCGGTGTTGTCCGCACAAATATACATGGAATTTTACTATCTATTAAAGTATATATAAATAAATAATTAAACAATGTTGTATCTTATTATTATATTTTTAGAGATAAATACATATACACATGCACACACATACACACACTCGCGCTCACACACACACACACACACACACACACACACACACACACACACACACACACACACACACACACACACACACACACACACACACGCGCGCGCTCTCGCACACACACACACACGCACGCACACACACATACACACAGTTTTAGCTAATCTTGTTCAATGGAATAATAAAGTTATTCTTATTCCATTCAGTGGCTTTAGCAAAGACTGAAGATGAACTGTAATGTACATAGCATGTTACTAGAAATTGTAATAACATTCTGAATTTCTTTGAAATAAATTGACATTACAAATTCAATGTTTAAATATTTAATAATTTCGAGGGTAGCTAATTCATGCTCCTCCATAATATACTATGTAAATATAAGCTGTAAGATGTAGTAATGGTGCGTATAAGGATTGTGAGATTTAACACTAAGCGTATAAATTTAAAATGAGTCGCAGTACATCTCCCAGCTGTGGATATTAGTCCACCGTCTAGACAATATTGTAATGTACTGTGAAATTACGCGCACGACTGGGGGCTTGATGCGATCCTACTAAATAAATACGCTCAGAAAACTGGATGAAGTGCTGTAGATATCTTGTGTTTTTTACAAAATAATGATGAGACCAAGTTTACGGTCAGTCTATGGGGGAGTAAGGATTGTTAGTAATGAGCAAGTTGTTCTCCATTGCTATCAATATACTCTATGAGGTCGACCTCCACGCGGTTCCCGCTGGAAACCGTCGTGACTATCCTTGAATTCGTCACGGTGGGCTAACTGCTGACCTGCTTTTTCATTCTCACCGAAAATCTCTCACTGGTGCCCCGCCAGTTTATACCGATAGCGCAGGAGGGTTTACTATTCCATTATCATCCATTAAAAAAATGGTAAAAAAGTCACTGTATTCTTCAAGACATTAACTTGTGATACTGGGGGGAAAGGGATTGTTAGTAATGGGGTCTAACTGCCCCATTGCTAGCAGTATACCCTATCAGGTCGACCTCCACGTGGTTCCCCCAAAAAACCATAGTGGTTAATTCTAGTGCAATTCATCACGATGGGCTAACTGACCTGCTTTCATCGTCACCTATCATCCCTCACTGGTGCCTCTCCAGCGTATACCATTAGCGCAAGCGGAGCTACCATTCCATTATCATCCATTAAAAAAAAACCTGTGTTACTAAAATCATCATCATCATCATCAAATCAGCCGTTAACCATATACTGCTGAACATAGGTTTCCTCACCTACCATTAGTTGCCACGCTTAGCAGGCAAGGCTTTGATTATGTTTTAAGAGGGACGCTGCTGCTCATCTTCTGCTGCTGAAGATAGTTTTTATATATTTATTTATTACATCAAGGCTGAAGAAGGGCCAAATTAAAAGTACCCGTAACCGACGAGCGTGTATGACAAGATTGATGAATGTGGAAGAAGCGAAAGAGGTTTGTTTGGATCGAAGCATTTGGCGTTCCATTGTTTCTGCCTACCCTAATGGGAGACAGGCGTGACAGATATGTATGTATGTATGTTATTACATCAACTAGATGAGATTTGGAGTCTTCCAATACGCTCACCCAGGAAATCATCAGTACAATAGCATATATAAAAAAGGAATAATATAAAAAAAGATTTAACATTAGAGCCTAAATTTCTGCACACAAACACCTTGTGGTCGTTCGACGAAACTCCAGTAAGTTGGAGGCAAATGCATCCAATTGCGGATACCGGCTCAAAACATCATTGAGTAATTTCAATGCAAGAGAGAGGGGAGCTTGCTTAGCCAACTCTGTTCTTCTTAATGGAACATCGAATAAGTGCCGTCTACGTGCTCGCACGTAGTTACTGGGCGCTCCTTTTGATATTGATACCGGTATGGTTTGGTTAAATTTTCTCCCCCGTACTAATTTTAACACATACACAATTAAATTTAGTTTCACTTTAAGTGTATTATAACTCACCGTATCCAATAAAAACATACTCGGATATATATGGGGGTAAGACACCTTGAAACCGTACTGTTTTTGGTACAGCCACCTTACAAATTTCTTTTGGATTTTTTCCACCATAAGTATATCTTTAAACTCATATTACGAGCTGTTTACGGGAAATAGCTTGTAATATATAAAAACTCTCTTAATAATAAAACGTATTAATACATTATTAATACATTTTATTATTTATTTTTTTGTCTGCATGAATTAATATAATATAGTAACCCATGTATTAAATTGGAATATAATTTACCTGCGTACCTGATTTAATTCCGTTACGATTGAGTAGTAAACATACAAGCATCTAAACATCTGTATAAACTTCCATATTTATAACATTGTTAGGATTGGTGTTAACAAACAGAGAACATAATTATGTAGCCTGTATTTTAGAATGCAGA